AGGCCAGGAGTTTCTGGCCAGCGGCGTCTTGTTTGAGGGTGCGGTGTCGCGCGCGGGTGGTGGCAGATACGTAGGGGGTCCAAATGTTTGCGTGCTGTGCACCCGGGTGCGGGGTGTCCTTCTGGGAGGTCGGCCTTTCGACCCGCAACCAAGTGGAGGAGCACGGGAAAACGAAAGGAGCAAGAGTAATGTGTGGAAGCTGTGATCAGCGAAGCATCACAGCGAAAGATGTGGCAGATGAATCGAAACGGGTGAAGAGGCTGTTGACGTTCGCAGCGCGCGCGAAACAGTTCGCGCGGCAACAGCACATTAGCGCCGAGCAAGATAGTGAGCACGTCGCGAGGAAGAGTAAGGTTGTATGCGCGGAGTGCATTGCAGTTGGCGTGACGGCTCGCAATACGGAAGCGTCTGCGGGTCTTTTGGGGGCCTCCTGGGGGCCTCTTGTGGGCTCCTTGGGGCGTCTTGGCGGTTTCTTGAGGGCCGTTGGCGGCCTGTTGGGGCACTCTTGGGGCCCCCTGGGGCTCGTGGGGGCGGGAAGCTAGATTTTTGAATTGTTGGTTGCCCTCTTGGGCCCCTTTTGGTGCCGTTTTGGAGCCTTCTTGGGCCGTTTTGGGGACCTCTTGGGCCGTCTTGGGGCCATATTGGGCCGTCGCGGGGCCGTCTTGGGGGCCTCTTGGGCCGTCTTGGGGCGGTTTTCGGGGCCTCTTGGGCCGTCTAGGAGCGTCGGAAAGCCCAGAAGGCGGATGTGTGAACATTGTACGTTTTACGACGGGAATAAGTACATTTCTGCGTCCAGGGACCGTCTTGGGACGCATCTTGGGGGCCTCTCAGGGGCGTGTTGGGCCATCTGGAGGCCATTTCGGGTGTCTTCGATCGCTCTTGGACCGTGTGGGACCATGTTGAGCTCTCTTGGCGCCACTTGGAGCGCTCTTGGGGCCGTCTTCGGGGCTCTCTTGGGCCGTCTTCGGCGCCTCTTGAGCCGTCTTAGCGCCTTCTTGGGCTGTCTTGGGGCCCTCTTGGGGGCTTCTTGGGCCGTCTTGGGGCGGTTTTGGGGGCCTCTTGGGCCGTCTGGGAGCGTCGGAAAACCCAAAAGGCGAATTTGTGAAAAACGCAGGCTTTACGAAGGGAGCGGGCTAATTTTTGCGTCTAGAGGCCCTCTTGGGACGCATCTTGGATGCCTCTTGGGGCCTCTTGGGGGCATCTTGGGCCGTCAGGAGGCCATCTTCGGTGTCTTTGATCGCTCTTGGGCTGTCTGGGACCATATTGAGCTCTCTTGGAGGCCACTTGGGGCGCTCCTGGAGCGCTCTTCGGGCCCTTTTCGGGGCCCTGTTGGGCCGTCTTGGACGCTTGTTGGGCCGTCTTGGGGCCCTCTTGGGCTATCTTGGGGCCCTCTTGGAGGTTTCTTGGGCCGTCTTGGGGCGGTCTTCGGGGCCTCTTGGGCCGTCTTGGAGCGTCGGAAAGCCCAGAAAGCGAATTGTTGTCGCTTCGCGAATCCCCACCAGCCCATCCAGAAACGATGCCCAGAGGAATTGCCTCGATCAGAGAAGTGGGCAGCACACAGAGGAAGCCATTATGAGACATCTTGGGATATCTTGAGCCATCTTGGAGGTCATTTTGGGCTCTCCCAGACGCTCTTGGAGTCATCTTAATCCGTGCCCCCCCCCAAGAGGCCTCCATGTGGCTAAAACCTGTGTAGAATCAATGATTAGGCATTCTCGCCGAGGCCTCTTGGAGCATCTTGGGTGCATTTGGGGGGGCTCTTGGGGCCTCTTGGGGGTCTCTTGGGGGCCTCCGGGGGGCCTCTTGGGGGCCTCTTGGGGCCATTTTGGGGCCATGTTGGGACCTCTTGGGGCTTCCTGGGCGCTTCTTGGGGCCATCTTGGAGGGAGTCGATCAAACAAGAGGGGGGGGTGAATTAGCGCCCCCCCTCGGAAGCCCCTAAAATCGCCTCTTGGACCCCTCTTGGAACGCTCTTGGAGTGCTCTTGGGCGCTCTTGGGGCCGTCTTGGGGCTCTTTTGGGGCTCTCTTGGGGCCCTCTTGGGCCATCTTGGAGCCATCTCCAGGCCTCGGATGGCCATCGGAAGCGAAAAGGCGAGAAAGCAAAAATCATTGATTTTCCTTAGGTTTTGGGACGATTTTGGCCTCTTCGGGGCCTCCTTGGGGAGCTGTTTGGCCACTTGGAGTTATCTTGGGGCCGTCTTTGGGCTTCTTGGAACCATCTTAGGAGCCATCGTGAGCGATCTTGCGCTATCTTGAGCCATCTTGGAGCTCATCTTGGGTTCTCTGAGGCGCTCTTGGAGCCGTCTTGGGCCATCTTGGACGCTCTAACTACCCGCGGCCCCCCCCGTCCAGGTCCAGGGGAGGGGGTAGGGGGAGGGGTAAACCCCTCCCCAAGGGGGAAGAGGGAGGGGTGGAAGAGGATCTGCTCTAGACCACCTACGCCCAGAGGGCTGGTGGGATTTGTGAAAATTATACGTTTTACGAAGGGAATGGGCCAATTTTTGCGTCTAGGGACCCTCTTGGGACGCATCTTGGAGGCCTCTTGGGGCCTCGTGGGGACCTCTTGGGCCGTCTTGGAGGCCTCTAGGCTCGTCTTGGGGCCATCTTGGGCGTCTGGGAGCGCTCGTTTGGCGTCTCGGGGCCCTCGTGGGCCGTCTTGGAGGCCTCTTGGAGCCTTCTGGGCCCGTCTTGATCCCCTTTTGGGCCCAAAAGAGCCCCGTGACGCGCTCGTACTGGGCCCGGGGGGGGGGGGTCAAATCTCCGGTTTGGGGTCCCTGGGGGGGGGGATTATGGGGGGGGGAACTATCTCACACGCCTAGAGACCCACAAGGGGTCGGCGGACTTCCCGCCGGCCAGCTACTTACCCAGAAGCGCACGCGCGCGCGCGTTCCTCGTGCCGGGCGTCGTCTCGCGGACCGCATCGCGCGTCGCAACTAGCATCGTGGGCGGGCGCCGTGTGTTTCCTCGAGTGACAAAGAAAATAGGCCATAAACATAAATGATACCGGTGACAAAAACTCATTCCATTTTTTAGTGCCAAAGGGCTATAGCGCTATATGGCTATAGGGCTATATGCCTATAGGGCTATAGGGCTATAGGGCCATAGGGCTGTAAGGCAATAGGGCTATAGGGCTATAGGGCTATAGGGCTATTATGCTATTGGGCTATGGCGCTGCAGGGCTATAGGGCTATAGGGCTATAAGGCTATAGGGCTATTGGGGCTATAGAGCTATAGGGGCTGTAGGGCTATCAGGCTAGTGGGCTATAGGGCTAGTGAGCTATAGGGCTATATGGCTATAGGGCTATAGGGCTATAGGGCTATAGGGCTACAAGGGGCTACAGGGCTACTGGGCTAGACGGCTTATAGGGCTGTAGGGCCATATGGTTATAAGGCCACAGGGCTATAGGGGCTCTAGTCCTATCAGGCTATTGGGCTATAGGACTATAGGGCTATAGGGCTGTCAGGCGATAGGGCTGTAGGACTATGAGGCTATAGGGCTATAGGGTTTATAGGGCTGTAGGTCTATAGGGCTATAGGGCTATAGGGCCATAGGGCTTGGGCTGTTGGGCTATAGGGCTATAGGGCTATAGGGCTATAGGGCTATAGGGCTATAGGGCTATAGGGCTATAGGGCTATAGAGTTCTAGGGCTATAGGTCTATCGGGCTAAAGGGCTATGGGGCTATAGGGCTATAGGACTATAGGGCTATAGGACCATAGGGCTATTGGGCTCAAGGGCTCCAGGGTTATAGGGACTATAGGGCTATAGCGCTATAGCGCTATAGGGCTGTAGGGCTGTCAGGCTGTAGGGCTATAGGGCTATATGGGGCTAGAGGACTATATGGCGATAGGGCTATAGGGTTATAGGGATATAGGACTATAAAGCCACAGGGCTATAGGGGCTATAGGGCTATCAGGCTATTGGGCTGTAGTGCTATAGGGCTATCAGGCTATAGGGCTATCGGGCTATTTGGCTATAGGGCTATAGGGCGATAGAGCACCCAGGCACCCGGGCACCCTGGTACCTCTGGGCACCCCGGGGCACCTCTGGGCACCCCCGGGCACCGGGCCATCCAGGCATCCGAGCACCCCCGGGCACCCGGGCACCCGAGCTCCTGGGCCAGCCACCGAAATCGGCGGCCCACCTCACCTACACGTATGAATCCGCTAGGACCCCTTATGGAGAGGCAAGCTCTGATTGGGGAACTTTTGGCCCTCCGCGCTGGGTCCCCCCAGGTGGCGCCTCTGGCGCCACCCCTGGCGCGCTCCGCGCGCCGGGATGGGGGGTCCGGCGCGGATCCAAGAAGTCCGCGCGGAGCGCCAAAAGTTTACGTTTATGCAGTTTTTTTTTCTCCCTCTGCTCTTACGTCGGGCCCGTCCCTCTACAGGAGGAATATTCGGGAGGACTATTCGAAAATAGTAAAACGTAGTCCAGGGACTATTTTTGGAGCATTTCTTGGCCATTTTGGAGTATTTTTTTAGCATTTCTTATTTTTCGTCGAAAATCCCCCTGCAGGGGGACACGCCCGACTTAACTCTGCTCGAGCATCCTGAGGCAACCCGCTGGAAGCCCTGCGCTGCAGGAGGCCTGGGCTCGCACACCGCGGCGCAGCACCTGGAGGTGCGCCCACCTCGTTGGACCTGTGCGCGCACGCGGTCAGTACGCCAAGGGCCCCACCGATCCCCTCGTCATGCACCTTAGAGTTCAGTCGGGCCTGTCCCTCTACAGGAGGAGTATTCAAATTTAGCCGCAAAGAAAACTCAGGGCACGATTTTTTGTATGTTTTCGAACACTTCGGGAAATGTTTTGTTATTTTATGTTTCGCCCACAATCCGCCTGTAGGGGGACATGCCCGACCCATGGAGCTCAGCATGGATTCCAGGAAATCCGCGCGGAGCTCCGCAAGGTTGTGTTGATGGCGTCACGGGTGATATAGAGGTGTCTCACGCTACGCGGCAACAGTCTCATCACGCGGACATGGCGCACCGCTCCCGAGAAGCGGCATCCAGCACACTTGCGCGAGACCGTCCAGTTGCTCTGCAAGGAACGACGATTTCGATACCCATGCATCCACGGCCGAAGCTGACTTTTCATCTCAAACGTGGACAGGTCTACCTACTGACACCAAGTTACCATGTCCTGACAAGTAGTCTTGGACTTATGAGGCCCCAGGAAACCCGTATCATTCTGAAGGATAAATCCCCGCTCAAACGGGGGCCCTCCTGGGTTCGAACATTTTGCTCTCAGATCGTGTAGCGCACCTCCGAAGGGCGAGTCACGAGTCGTGCCCTCGTGTATATTTAGGTGCTATCTGGGTGCTCATATGATTTCACCCTGCCTAGCCGCAAGGGAAATCGTGCAGCCCACATGGCACAATACTGCAACATAGCGGCAGCATTTTTTTTGTTCTCTCTCTCTCTCTCTCTTTCTCTTTCTCTCTGGGCATTTTTTTTCAAACGCTGCGTTACAACGCCCAGCACGAGCAATCACTCAGTAGTGCCCGGGAATCAACAGGGCGATGCACCCATGCGACGTGCGCACGTTGAGCTCAACCGCGAAAGAGCCTTCGAAGGAGACTCCGTGTGCTGAAGAGGCGCGTATTGCTGAGCAGCAACGCTTTCTCTAGTGTTTTGCTGCCGTTTTAAGACATTTTTTTGTCGGCGCTCCGCTACCTCGCTTTGACATCTTTGATCTTGCGGGCCGTGCCTCATACCACGACTGGCAGTGACTGTTACATTATCTGTGCCCATTATGTGCATGTGTCGTCTTCCGCCCTGTTAGGCACTACCTCATGCAAGGGGGATGACACTGTCCAGCAAGGATGGCACGAACAAGAGAGAGACATCATCGTGTCGCACGGGGTGCGTACATGCGCTTCCCTCTTTTTCAGCAGCCTGGCAGCAGCCCGCGGAGCCCGAGCTGTCTAGGACCTTCTCCGCCGCTTCCGCGGTGGTCCCTGTTTCGGCAGCAGCGCCTTCGACGCACCCTTCACGGACCCAGCAGGGGAATCTCCCACGACAAGACGACAGCCGGGGTGCCGAACGGGCAGAACGCCAGCATCGTGGTCGGCTTCCCTTCATCCTCGGGGCACAAGCAGCACGTGGATGCAGCTGTTACTGCAGCATCCTGTCTGCGCAGGCCCTCTGGCTGTTCCCCGAGTTGGTCAAGGACACAGCCATCCTGGCTCATGTGTAGAGGAGGCGGCTGCCAATCGGTCGTTGAAAGTTAACATCTCTGGATTCCCACATCCCAGCCTATTTCAAGCGCCTTCCTACTTCAATCATCGATATGCTTTTGCTGTGTTCTGTTACGCTCCGGGAGGGCCTGAGCCCAATCTGCTTGATGCGCCTTCCTACGTCACGTGTTTACCTGCTTCTTCCGACTGACGTCTACTCGTGCCAGCATTCGGCTCTGCAAATTCGCCTTCGTCCATGTCGGCCTCCCGGTCCTCCTTGACCGAGCGGCGCCTGGCCACCTCCCGAGCGAGGCTTCTCCGTCGGCCAGCCGGGGCGGAGGGAGCGCCCTCCATCAAGGCAAGAGGAGGACGACGACGACGATGTCCATCGACGACGACGGCGACGACCATCGACGATAACGACGAGGACGGACGACGACAAAGACGAATCCTCTCTACACACCCCACTGCCGCACACTTCCCTCGGCCCTTGACGAGAGCAGAAGCGATCTGGCACCCCGCCCTCGTGCGCCGCCGTGCCCAAATCTCCCACTCAGCAGGCTGGAACTCCCTCCTGTTGTCCACTTTATCGGCCCTTGACGAGAGCATGAGCGATCTGGTACTCCGCCATCGTGCGCCCTGTGTTCAGGTCTCCCGCTCAACAGGTCGGAATTCAAATCTGTTGTCCTTCCCTTCGGCCCTCGACTAGAGCATCGCGGCTCTCGGGGGATTCGCTGCCGCCCCGCACACGAGTGGGGCCGATCAAATGTGGACTCCTCCCTCCTCCCTGCTCCGTCCTCCCGCTCCTCCCTCCCCCCCCTCCCTCCTCCCTCCCTGCTCCCTCCCGCCTGCTCCGTCCTTCCGCTCCTCCCTCCTCCCTCCGCCACCTTTCCCCCTCGCGTTCTTATTCCCCTCCCTCCCCTCCCCCCCTCCGCCTCCCTCCTCCCTCCTCCCTCCTCCCCTCCCGCTCCCGCTCCTTCCCTTCCCTCCTCCGCTCCCCGTCCGACCCGTGCTACTCACTCCCCCTCGTCTCCCCCCCCCCCGCACCTCCATCCCATCCCAACGCCCTTGCTCCCTCTCCTCCCTCTTCCCTGCCCTTCTCCTGCCCTTCTCCTTCTATCCCTCCTCTGCCCTTCTCCCTGCTCTTCTTAGATCCCTTCTCCTGATATCCCTCCTGCTCTTCCCTGCTCTGCTCCCTCCCCTGCCCTTCTCCTTATATCCCTCCTCCTTCGCCCTCGGATCGCCCGCGCGGCCTTCCCCAGGCAGGAGCGATGGGGGCTCGCGAGGCGCACAGGCCCACGCCGCGAAGGTACGCTGTGTGCGCAAGAGGACCAGACGAGGAGGAGGAGGAGGAGGAGGAGGAGGAGGAGGAGGAGGAGGAGGAGGAGGAGGAGTGGATGGTCAGATATTGCAGCTGTGCTGGCAAGCGCCGCACGGCCGCCGAGTAGAAGCACCCTCCTCCTCCTCCTCCTCGTCCTCATCCTCTTCCTCCTCCTCCTCCTCCTCCTCCTCCTCCCACCTGCTTCCCCCCATCGCAGCAAGGCGCGCTCGGGCTTCTTCGGAGGCGACATCGAGGTGCAGGTGGACACGAACGCGAAGAAGGCGTACGAGGCGGACTCATGGACGGGAGCGTGTTTCTGCCCGCCCCTCCTCCGCCCCCCTCGTGCCCCCCCTGCTCCCCCGCCTCCCGCTCCTCCTTGTCCCCCACCTCTCTTCCTCGTTCTTCCCAGGCTCCCCTGCTCACCGCCTACTCCCTCTTCCTCCTCCCGCGCCCCTTTTCCCTCCGATCCCCTCCCCATTTTCCTCCCCCTTTCTACCCTCCCCCTCCTGCTGTTCTTCCTCCTCCTCCTGCGCCTCCTCCTTTCCTTCTCCTGCTGTTGCCCCTTTTGCCCCTCTTGCCTCCCATATCGCTCCTGCTTTCCCTGCTTCGCCTTCTCCGCTTCCCCCCGTCCCCCTACCCCCCCTGGCTACTCCTCTTCCCCCTCCTCCTTTCTCTTACTTCTTCCCCTTCCTCCTGCACCTCTCCCATTAGTTCTGCTCCCGCTCCTTTTCGATCCAACTCCGCCGCATCGTACGAGGCGGATTACTGGAAGGGCATCCTCGACGCTCAGGGCAAGAACGACGGCACGTACTACTGATGCGGAGCACTCTGTTCCGAAAGGTGAACAGTGAGGGGTGAGGGAGGAAGGGGAGGGGAGGGGAGGGAAGAGGGGGGCATTGAGTCGTGTTGTTATTATTGTTGTTGTTGTTGTTGTTGTTGTTGTTGTTGTTGTTGTTGTTGTTGTTGTGGTTGTGGTTGTTGTTGTTATTGTTGCTACTGTTGCTATTGTTGTTGTTGTTGTGGTGGTTGTTGTTGTTGCTGTTGCTGTTGCTGTTGCTGTTGCTGTTGCTGCTGCTGCTGCTGCTGCTGTTGTTGTTGTTGTTGTTGATGTTGTTGTTGTTGTTGTTGTTATTGTTGTTGTTGTTGTTCTTGTTGTTGTTGTTGCTCTTGTTGTTGTTGTTGTGGTTGTGGTTTGTGTTGTTATTGTTGCTACTGTTGCTATTGTTGTTGTTGTTGTGGTGGTGGTTGTTGTTGCTGTTGCTGTTGCTGTTGCTGCTGCTGCTGCTGCTGCTGTTGTTGTTGTTGTTGTTGTTGTTGTTGTTGTTGTTGTTCTTGTTCTTGTTGTTGTTGTTGTTGTTGTTGTTGTTGTTGTTGTTGTTGTTGTTGTTGCTCTTCTTGTTGTTGTTGTTGTTGTTGTTGTTGTTGTTGTTGTTGTTGTTGTTGTTGTTGTTGTTGTTGAGCTTTCATTGCTGAAGAATAAGTATTGTCGATCCCCCTCTGGTGCACACTGATTTTTCAATTAATGTGCCCCTCCCGGCGCTCGCACCCTGTTTTTTTATCAGGGACAGTCTTCATCCTCAAACTGCGTTGTTGGCCCCCGGGTTGCAACAACAACGGCTCCCACCTGAGACTTCCTCACAATTTAGCCAGGACCCTCGCTCCCGCCTGAGACTTCCTTGCATTTTATGCAGGAATCGCGCTCTCGCTGGGGACTTTGCTGCAATTTATTCAGGAATCGCTCTCTCGGCGCTCTGGAGTCGCGCTCTCGCTGGAGACTTGCTTGCAATTTACTCAAGAATAGCGCCCCTGCGTTGGATTTCCCCGCAATTTACTCAAGCGCCGCGCTTCCGACACTCAAGCACCCAGGAGTCGCGCTCACGCTTAGGACTCCATCACAGATTACTTAGGAATCGGGATCTCGCTGCCCTTCGCGGCCCCGTTGCAGCCCTTCGTGGCCCCCTCGCTGCCCTTCGTGGCCCCGTTGCACCCCTTCATGGCCCCCTCGGTGCCCCTCGTGGCTCCGTTGCACCCCTTCGTGGCCCCCTCGCTGCCCTTTGTGGCCCCATTGCAGCCCTTCGTGGCCCCCTCGCTGCCCTTCGTGGCCCCGTTGCAGCCCTTCGTGGTCCCCTCGCTGCCCTTTGTGGCCCCGTTGCAGCCCTTCGTGGCCCCCTCGCTTTGTTTCGCGGCCCCGTCGCTGCCCTTCGTGGCCCCGGTGCTGCCCTCAGTGGCCCCGTCCTTGCCCTCCGCAGCCCAGTATACGTATGCCCTTCGTGGCCCCCGCTCGCTCGCGCCCGTCGTGGCCCCATGTGCATGCTCGTCGTGGCCCCGCTGTCGCCCTTGTGGCCCCGTTGCAGCCCTTCGTGGTCCCCTCGCTGCCCTTTGTGGCCCCGTTGCAGCCCGTTGCAGCCCTTGGCCCCCTCGCTTTGTTTCGCGGCCCCGTCGCTGCCCTTCGTGGCCCCCGGTGCTGCCCTCAGTGGCCCCGTCCTTGCCCTCCGCAGGCCCAGTATACGTATGCCCTTCGTGGCCCCCGCTCGCTCGTCGTGGCCCCATGTGCATGCTCGTCGTGGCCCCGCTGTCGCCCCTTGTGGCCCCCTCGCTGCCCTTCTTGGCCCCGTTGCAGCCCTTCGTGGCCCCTTCGCTGCCCTTTGTGGCCCCGTTGCAGCCTTTCGTGGCCCCCTTGCTGCCCTCAGTGGCCCCGTCCTTGCCCTCCGCAGCCCAGTATACGTATGCCCTTCGTGGCCCCCGCTCGCTCGCGCCCGTCGTGGCCCCATGTGCATGCTCGTCGTGGCCCCGCTGTCGCCCCTTGTGGCCCCTCGCTGCCTTCTTGGCCCCGTTGCAGCCCTTCGTGGCCCCTCGCTGCCCTTTGTGGCCCCCTGCTGCCCTTCGTGGCCCCTTGCTGCCCTCAGTGGCCCCGTCCTTGCCGCCCTCCGCAGCCCAGTATACGTATGCCCTTCGTGGCCCCCGCCTCGCTCGCGCCCGTCGTGGCCCGGCATGCTCCGTGGCCCCGCTGTCGCCCCTTGTGGCCCTCGCTCGCCCTTCTTGGCCCCGTTGCAGCCCTTCGTGGCCCCTTCGCTGCCCTTTGTGGCCCGTTGCGGTCCTTCGTGGCCCCCTTGCTGCCCTCAGTGGCCCCGGTCCTGCCCCTCCGCAGCAGTATACGTATGCCCTTCGTGGCCCCCGCTCGCTCGCGCCCGTCGTGGCCCCATGTGCATGCTCGTCGTGGCCCCGCTGTCGCCCCTTGTGGCCCCCTCGCTGCCCTTCTTGGCCCCGTTGCAGCCCTTCGTGGCCCCCTCGCTGCCCTTTGTGGCCCCGTTGCGGCCCTTCGTGGCCCCCTTGCTGCCCTCAGTGGCCCCGTCCTTGCCCTCCGCAGCCCAGTATACGTATGCCCTTCGTGGCCCCCGCTCGCTCGCGCCCGTCGTGGCCCCATGTGCATGCTCGTCGTGGCCCCGCTGTCGCCCCTTGTGGCCCCCTCGCTGCCCTTCTTGGCCCCGTTGCAGCCCTTCGTGGCCCCCTCGCTGCCCTTTGTGGCCCCGTTGCGGCCCTTCGTGGCCCCCTTGCTGCCCTCAGTGGCCCCGTCCTTGCCCTCCGCAGCCCAGTATACGTATGCCCTTCGTGGCCCCCGCTCGCTCGCGCCCGTCGTGGCCCCATGTGCATGCCCGTGGCCCCGTTGTCGCCCCTGTGGCCCCCTCGCTGCCCTTCTTGGCCCCGTTGCAGCCCTCGTGGCCCCTCGCTGCCCTTGTGGCCCCGTTGCAGCCCTTCGTGGCCCCCTCGCTGCCCCCCGTGCGGCCCTTCGTGGCCCCCTTGCTGCCCTCAGTGGCCCCGTCCTTGCCCTCCGCAGCCCAGTATACGTATGCCCTTCGTGGCCCCCGCTCGCTCGCGCCCGTCGTGGCCCCATGTGCATGCTCGTCGTGGCCCCGCTGTCGCCCCTTGTGGCCCCCTCGCTGCCCTTCTTGGCCCCGTTGCTACCCTCAGTGGCCCCGTCGTTGCCCTCTGTTGCCCCGCATTATCTGCCCTTCGTGGCCCACGCTCGTTCGCGCTCTTCGTGGCCCCATACGCATTCCCTTCGTGTCCCCGCTGTCGCCCTTCGTGGCCCCCTTCCTGCCCTTCATGGCCCCGCTGTCGCTCTCGCTCTCGCTCTCGCTTTCGCTTGTCGTCGTCGTCGTCGTCGTCGTCGTGGTCGTCGTCGTCGTCGTCCTTGTCGTTGTCGTCGTGGTCAGTCCACTGTCCGTTCCTCTTGGGGTCGGGCTGCCGCCGATCAGCGCTGCCGCTGGCCAGGCCGACGGTCTACGGCCACCCCGCCGCTTGCCGGGGCCCAGCTTGCAGGGAAGGCAGATATACTCCCCAAAAGTGGTACGATCGAAGACGACGAGGGCTTGTATCGAGGGTTTGGGACACACGTTGAACGACACTCGAGCAGATATGAGCGAATAGTCTTAAAATCATTGTTGTTGTGGTTGTTGTTGTTGTTGTTGTTGTTGTTGTTGTTGTTGTTGTTGAACATTATTTATTCTAAAGAATAATTATTGTTGGGCCCCCTGGTGCGCGCCCCCCCTGCGCCGCCTAGGCCGCAGCTACATTTTCATCATTTTCGTGAGGAAGCCTCAGGTAAAACGATGTGTCCAGATCCGGTTGTTTTGTTGTAATCCGCTTTCCCTTGCAAAAAACACTATAAAATGACATTTCTTGTTCTAATATAATCAAATTTCAAGAATCCCTTGCAAAAAAATAAGGTAAAGTGGACATTCGCGCGCGCAAGACGAAATCCTTCCAAAAGCTTAGTGTTCGGAGCGATTTTAACATAAAAACATCAAAAAACCAATGGTTTTTCAAAAAAAAATGTCAAAATTTCATCCCGCGCGCTCTTGCGGATTCGTAGGAAACCCAACACTTTTTAAACATTTCTGTCAAACGGGCTTTTGCGAGCAACTTTTTCGAACTTCTGCGACAACGGTTGCGCACCTGCCAGGGCCATCATCCCTGTCAAATAATACCATGCGGGACACATTCGTTTTTTCTTCGCGCGCGCACGCCGTCGTCGTCGGCCGCGGGGCCCTGAATAGTAGCCACGGTCGTCCGCATGCCACGAAGTGAAGTGTCCGAACGTCATAGGGCGGGAAGCTGGGTGTGGGTGGTGGCGAAGAGTCGTTTGGAAATTTGGTAGAGCTTGAACCGGCCCCCCCACAAAGTGGAGAGGGTGTGTACAGGATCCGGTTGTTTTGTTGTAATCCGCTTTCCCTTGCAAAAAACAATAGAAAATGACATTTCTTGTTCTAATATAATCAAATTTCAAGAATCCCTTGCAAAAAATAAGGTAAAGTGGACATTCGCGCGCGCAAGACGAAATCCTTCCAAAACCTTAGTGTTCGCAGCGATTTTAACATAAAAACATCAAAAAACCAATGGTTTTTCAACAAACAATTGTCAAAATCTCATCCCGCGCGCTCTTGCGGATTCGTAGGAAACCCAACACTTTTTAAACATTTCTGTCAAACGGGCTTTTGCGAGCAACTTTTCGAACTTCTGCGACAACGGTTGCGCACCTGCCAGGGCCATCATCCCTGTCAAATAATACCATGCGGGACACATTCGTTTTTTCTTCGCGCGCGCACGCCGTCGTCGTCGGCCGCGGGGCCCTGAATAGTAGCCACGGTCGTCCGCATGCCACGAAGTGAAGTGTCCGAACGTCATAGGGCGGGAAGCTGGGTGTGGGTGGTGGCGAAGAGTCGTTTGGAAATTTGGTAGAGCTTGAACCGGCCCCCCCACAAAGTGGGGGTATTGCCCGCCTCCAATGAAAACCCTGGCACTGGTGAGAACGGAGTGTCCCCACGTGCTAGTAATTGTTGTGGTTGTTGTTGTTGTTGTTGTTGTTGATGCTGTTGTGGTTGTTGTCGTTGTTGTTGTTGTTGTTGTTGTTGTTATTGTTGTTGTTTTGGCTGTTGTTGTTGGTTTTGTTGTTGTTGGTTTTGTTGTTGTTGTTGCTGTTGTTGTTATTGTTGTTGTTCTAGTCGTTGTTATGGTGATTGCATTTTCATTGTTGAGGATTTTTTTTTTGTTTTTCCCCCCTTCTGGTGACCATTGTATTTTTTAATTGAAGTGCCCGGGGCTCGCACCTTGTTTTTAATGAGGGGAATTCGCTAAGCTCAAACTATGCCCCTGGCCCCGCTTCACAGCAACAGCGGCTTCCGCCTGATACTTCCTCACAATGTATTCTTAAATCGCGCTCTCGCGTGGGACTTCTCACAATTTGTATACGAATCGCCCTCTCGCGGGGGATTTCCTTGCAGTTGATTCAAACGAGGCGCCCTCGGCGCTCAGGAATCACGCTCTCGCTCTGGCTTTTCTCACGATTTACTTGGGAATCGCGCTATCGCCCGAGACTTCCTCGCGATTCATGCAGGACCCACGCTTCAGCAACCCGCCTGCTCGACCTGGTCGCTTGGGCCCGCCTTCCCGACCTGCCCGCTATGGGTCTGCCCACCCGATCGGCCCGTCTGGTTCTACAACTTGATTTCTGCTCCTTGCCCCGCTGCTGCTTGTTTCCCTTGTGTTCCATGTTTCTCCCTCCCCCTTCCGCCCGTCTTCTCTTCCCTTGTTTTAGGGGCTGTACTAAATGCACGTGGCAGGTAAGGAAGATCTACCTCCACGGGGGTTCGATCGAAGACGACGAGGGCGGTTACTGAGGGCTTGGGATATACGTATTGATTGGCGCTTTAACAGGTCGGAGCGGTCTGTCTTGAAATGATTGTTTTTGTTGATGATGATGGTGGTGATGATGATGGTAGTCATAACAATGATAACGACGATGACGACCACGATGGTGATAATGATGATGGTGGTGGTTGTGGTGATGGTGTTGGTGATGCTGTTGATGATGATGCTGAAGATGATGTTTGTTATGGTGAGGATAACGATGATGACGACGATGATGACGATGGTGTTGCGGAGATGGAGGATGAGGAGGAGGATGCCGATGAGGACCATGATGATGATGATGCTGATTATGCTGCTTCTGCTGATGGGATGATTTTGAGTATGACGATGATGCTGCTGATGATGGTGACGACTATGACTATGGTGATGCTGCTGCTGATGATGACGACGACACTACTGATTCTGCTTATGATAATGGTTTTGGTGGTTATGATAATCGTGATGATAACGATAACGATGACCATGATGCTGATGAGGAGGACGATGATGATGAGGATGATGATGTTGGTGATGATTATTCTGCTTCTGATGGGACTGATGCTGCTGCTGATTATGACGATGCTGATGATGATTATGTTTGTGCTGCTGCTGATGCTGATGATGATGCTGCTCTTGCTAATGATGATGCTTATGCTGATGAGAACGATGATGCTGCTGATGATGCTGACGATGATGATGGTGATGCTGCTGATGATGAGGATGTTGATGGTGATGATGTTGAGGATCCTGCTGCTGATGATGATGAGGATGATGCTGATGCTGCTGCTGATGATGGTGGTGGTGATGATGATGCTGCTGATGATGACGATGATGCAAATGATGATGCAGATACAAGATGATGCTGATGATGCTGATGACGATGATGATGCTGATCAGGATGATGATGCTGTTGATGATTATGATGATGCTGCTACGGATGATGATGATGATGATGATGATGATGCTGATGATGATGATGATGATTATGATGATGATGATAATGATGATGCTGATGCTGCTGCTGATGATGATGATGGTGATGGTGGTGATGATGATGATGATCATAATGTTGTTGCTGCTGCCGCTGATGATGCTGGTGCGGATGATGATGACGATGATGGTGATGCTGCTGCTGATGATGCTGCTGCTGATGATCATGATGATGCTGTTGATGATGCTGATGGTGATGATGATGATAGTGATGATGATGATGAGGATGACGATGATGCTGATGTTGATGCTGACGATGATGATGCTGATGATTCTGATTCTGATTATGATTATTATGATGATGATGATGATGATGATGACGATGATGATGATGATGATGATGATGATGATGATGATGATGATGATGATGATGATCACCATGAACATGATCATGATCATGATGATGATGATGATGATGCTGCTGCTGCTGCTGATGATGATGATGATGATGATGATGATGATGATGATGATGATGATGATGATGATGATGATGATGATCATGATCATGATCATGATGATCATGATTATCATGATGATGTTGATGATGCTGGGTCGGAGGAGGAGGAGGAGGAGAAGGAGGAGGAGGTGGAGGAGGAGGAGGTGAAGGAGGAGGAGGAGAGGAGGAGGAGGAGGAGGAAAAAGAGGTGGAGGCCTGCGATGATGACGAGGCCAGCGATTCGGAGGAGGAGGGAGTGGATGAGGGATGAAGCAGGGAGGCAGAGGGATGAGCACGGGAGAGGAGGGGGGACGGGGGCGGGAGGAGGCAAGGGGGGGAGGAAGACGGAAGACGGGGGAGGGGGAGCACGGAGGGGGGGCTGAGGGACGCCTAGTTTTCCGAATGCAAGCTTCTGCACCCGCCGGCAAGCTGCCCGCCGACGAAGGCAGGCGGCTCGCGGCCCGCGCACGTCTCTTTTTTTTACACTTTGGTGCCGCGGAAATGGCCTGGCGCAGGGCGCGGCTCGAGAAGGTTGTCTGCGGAGCGGCTGCTCCCGCGTGCCCGGAGAGAAGCCACGTTCGGCACGGGGATCGAGGATCGAGGATCGAAGACCGAGGACCGAGGATCGAGGATCGAGGAGGAGGAGGAGGAGGAGAAGGAGAAGGAGGAGGAGGAGGAGGAGGAGGAGCAGAACGCGGATTGACAGGGTGTAGCGAAAGGCCATCCTCGCAGCTCGGCCACACACCTCCCTAGCTCCCTCCTCCCTCCTCCCCCTCCTCCTCCCTCCTTCCTCTCCTCCTCCTCCCTCCTCTCCTCCTCCATCCTCCTCCTCCTTCTCTTCCTCCTCCTCCTCCTCCTCCTCCTCCTCCTCCTCCTCCTCCTACTCCTCCTCCTCCTCCCCCTCTGACTCGAACGGTAGGTTATCAGTGAAGGGTGGGTGCGGGAATGCTTGTCCCCTTGCTGCCGTTTTGGCTCGCGGTGTCTTTCCGCGCCCGCTATCATACACGCTACACGCTTCCGCTTCGACGTGCTGTACACCGTTTTTTCCTTTGTAGTCGAGTTTGTTTTTTTGATTGGTCGTTGGAATCCGCTGCACGTGGCCGCCGCTAATGGAGTTTTGCTGCTTGCATTGTGGTTTTGGTGGCAGGCTTGGGTGGTGTGTGTGTATGTGTTTTCTCCCTCTCTCCTCCCTCTTGCCTCCCCCCTCCCTCTTGCCCGCGCCAGGCCTCCTCTCCGTCCCACGTGCATTGCGGCTTAATTCGCGTTTCGTGCATCCCACCTGCGCCCCGTCGCCAGCGCAGCGATTCTGCCTAGCCGCCGACGGAAAAACAAAGTGCTTTCCAGAAGCTCCTTCGGAAGCTCCTTCACGAGCTTCCAGAGCTCCTCCGGAAGCTCCTTCCGCTGTCTGGGTTCTGGATTCCACAAGCGTGTGGGGCAGTTTTGAAGAACCAAACGCCCGGACAACCAAGTAACAGTCGCTCGATGTACCGATGACATTCTTGTGAAAGCTGGAATAATTCTAAGGTCCGAGCCAGCCATCCATTCACGGCCGAGGCAACGGCCCCGTCTAATACTTGCTTTGGTAGCCAGTGGGCGCCGAAGGAGAATTCGTGCGCCTTCCACGGGCAAGCCTCGCATGGATACCGATGGGCATTCGGCAAGCATGGCCTCCTGGCCAGAGCATCGTCGACGAGCGTGCGAAATCGCCATGCCAATCGTATGTCTGGTCGAGTCGTCTCGGCTCCCTGCTGTTCCTTTCTCAGCGCTGCCTGCGGCACGCTGCTGCCGCTGCCGGCAGCTGTCGCTGGTGTTGCCTCCCTTTCGGGTGTTGCCAGATATGTCCCTGACCCAAGGTTAAGTCGGGCGTGTCCCTCTACAGGGGGAATACTCCAAAATAGTCAACAAACCGTCAGGGGACGATTTTGTGACCATTTTTGATTTTTGTTGGGGTATTTTTCTTATGTTTCGCCCCAAATCTCCCTGTAGGGGGACACGCCCGACTTAAGCCCAAGGCGCACCCAGGATTTCAAGGAGGCCCCCCCGGCCTCCAGAGAGCCCCCCAACGAGGCCAAGAGGGCCCCAGGAGCTCCAAAGTGGAGCGAAGAGCTGAGGACACCTGGGATTGCGGAGGACGATCAATGGAGAGGGAGCATGTTGCCAAACAATTTCCAGACGTCTAGACAATGTGTTAAAACTGTTTTAACATGCAAGAAACATGTTTTAAACATTAACAGGGCATTATTCCCACAGTTTAAACACACTTTTAGTTCGATGATAGGACTGTTAGGGTGTTCATTGTCGTGGCATCCACGAACCTAGGACCCAGGCACCCGTGGCAGAACTCTGGGCCTTCGCTTCTTCGCGCTTCTGGGCCCCATCCGAACTGGGATGCTTTTTTTGCTTTCGGGTGCATTCCCATGGCTCGCCCTGAGGCTGTGCTCGTTCCCCCCTCCCCTTTTCTGTTAATTCAAGCTTCGCGCGGCCCGCTTGGCCTTGACCGGAAGAGGTGCGCTCTCGACCCGCGAATCAAAAAGTGCACTCCCATGGCTGCCAGGGGCCTTCGGCGCAGGGGCCAGCTCTCTTTCAGGAGGGGAAAAAACACACAGACACAATTCATCGCCCATCCCCAGGGAAATATGGGAAACTATGGGAAGGGGGGGGGAAGACAAAAAGCCCAGAAACTATGGGAAACTATGGGGGACATTTTGACTTGTGTGCATCTATTTGTGTGTGTCCCAGCTCCCCTTCACTCCTGGCCTGCACCCTTTGGCGGCCAGGCCTTGGCCGCGCTCCCTTCGGCACGACCTCGCGCGCGCGCCTCCTGCCCACCCTCGGGGGCACGCGCTCTGGCCTGAGGCGGGGCCGCGCGCCTCGCGTCGCTGCGCCCGCCCTCCCTCGGCACACCGTTCACAGCCCCCACGCCTCCTCCTCCTCCTCCTCCTCCTCCTCCTCCACCGTCCTCCTCCTCCTCCTCCTCCTCCTCCGTCCTCCTCCTCCTCCTCCCCCTCCTCCTCCTCCTCCTCCTCCTCCTCCTCCTCCTCCTCCTCCGTCCTCCCGAAGGGAGCCCCATTTGCGGCCAAAGCGGGGCTGCGCGCGCGTCGCCGCCACGCGGGTTGGCCACCGACGTGCACGGGCATCGGGCAGCGGGCCGGTGAGCCAGACTCGGGCGACTTGGTCGAGCCTGTTTCCTGCATCGCGAGCGCGTCCTGACTATGTAGCTCTTGGCTGACGGGGGAATCTTAGCGGCTGGAGGCGTGCTTCGCCCCCCAAGGCCTCCTGCGTTGGTTTTTCGTTTTGACTAGAGCACCGTGGTCGCGACTCCTCTTCCTCCTCTTCCCCTCCTGCGCCTCTCCCCTCATCATGCCTCTGCCCTCTTCCTGCCCCCTCTTGCGCTGCTCCCTGGTTGGCTGCGAACTGCGCGACTGTCGCCACTTTCGTGGGCTCCTGGGAGGCACGGCGGAGTCGGGCAGCACACGGACCTAGACGAGAATTCGCTGCTTTTTTGGGGGACTGCGAAATGCGCATGTGGCGCCACGTTCGTTGGCCCCTAGGAGGTCGAGCGCAGTCGGGGAGTACGTGGATCCAGACGGGACCTCGCTGCCCCCTGGGTGGTTGCGGACTGCGCAACTGGCGCCACTTGCGTGGGCTCCTGGGAAGCACGGCGGGGTAAGGGAGTACGCGCACCCAGCCCAGACCTCGCTGCTCCCTGGGTGGCTGCGATCTGCGCAGCTGTCGCCACTCTCGTGGGCTGCTGGGCGGCCCACGGCGGAGTCCGGGCGTGATGGGACCCAGAGGAGACCTCGGTGCTCCCTTGGTGGCTGCGAACTGCGCAGCTGGCGCCAGTTTCGTGGGCTCCTGGGAGGCACGGCGGAGTGGGGGAGTACTCGCACCCAGCCGAGACCTCGCAGTCAGAGATGGCATGCTGATGCTGATGATGCTGATGATGATGATGATGATGATGATGATGATGATGAGGATGACGATGCTCATGCTGCGAGCTGCTGCTGATGAAGGCGATGATGATGTTGATGCCGCTGATGATGATGATGATGATGATGATGACGACGATGACGATGACGATGATGATGATAATCATGATGATGATGATGCCAGCGATGATGATGATGATGATGATGCTAATGCTGGTGCTGATGCTGCGGATGATGATTCTGATGATGATGCTGACGATTCTGATGATGGTGATGGTGATGGCTATGCTGATAATGAGGATGATGCGGCTGATTGCGATGCTGATGATTGTGGTTATGGTGATGATGCTGATGGTGCTGATGATGCTGATGCTGGTGCTGATGCTACTGCTGATGTTCATGATGATGCTGATGATGATGCTGATGATGATGCTGATGGAGATGGTGATGACGATGCTGCTGAACGTGCTTGTGATGATGCTGTTAGTGATGATGATGACGACGATGCTGATTATGATAATGATGGTAACGGTGATGACGATGCTGATGATGATGGTGGTGGTGGTGCTGGTGGTGCTGCTGATGATGATGATGACGCCGACGATGATGATTGTGATGAGATAATGACGATGCCAATGGTGACGACGATGATGCTGCTGATGCTGATACTGATGCTGCTGCTGCTGATGCTGATGATGATGACAATGGTAATGGTGGCGGTGACGATGACGATGACGATGACGATGATAACGATGATGATGATGATGATAACGATTATGATGATGATGATGGTGATGATGACATTAATGATGGTGATGATGATGATGATGATGATGATGATGGTGATGATGGTGATGATGATGATGACTGACGATGATGCTACTGATGAAGACTTGTGATGATGATGACTGATGATGATGTTGATGATGCTGATGATAATGTTGCTGATGATGCTTATGATGATGGTGATGCTGATGCTTATAATGATGATTATGATGCTGATGATGCTGATGATGATGTTGACGATGGGGATGATGGTGGTGATGATGAGATGCTGATGATCTTTATGATGACGATTCTGATTATGATGATGACGATGATGATGTTGCTGATGCTGATAACGGTGATGATGATGATGATGATGGTGGTGGTGGTGGTGTTGGTGATGATGATGATGATGATGATGATGATGATGCTGATGATGATGATGAGGGTGACGATGCTGATGATGACGATGCTGATGCTGATGCTGATACTGATGCTGCTGCTGCTGATGCTGATGATGATGATGACGACGACGAGGACGACGACGACGACGATGATGATGATGATGATGATGCTGATGGTGGTGGTGATGGTGATGGTGATGGTGATGGTGATGGTGATGGTGATGGTGATGGTGATGGTGATGGTGATGATGATGATGATGATGATGATGCTGATGCTGATGCTGATGCTGATGCTGATGCTGATGCTGATGCTGATGATGCTGATGCTGATGATGATGAGGATGATGATGATGATGATGATGATGATGATGATGATGATGATGATGATGATGATGATATGATGATGATGATGATGATGATGATGATGATGATGATGATGATGATGATGATGATGATGATGATGATGATGATGATGATGATGA